TTTTCCCCCTCTTCTCTTTTCTCCTTTTTATCCAGGCGTGTTAGTGGTCCAGGATGCAGCAGGAATTAGAGCATGCAGGAGCCCAATTTACTGGTCGTGAATGTGCCTGCTCCTGTTGGTTAGTCTATTTTTCCTTTCTCTTTTCATTCTGTCCCAAACTCTGAATACTAACCCCTCTCTCTTGTTTTGTCCAGTGAGCCCTTTCTTCCCCTTACCTTAAGGTCTTTAGTAAATAAAACATAGACCAAACAGAGAGAGGAGTTAGAACCTACATACTCCTTTTCCCCAATTGTCCTTTTACTGTCATATTCCATTGTGGAAAGAGAGCACTTTATTTCCAAAAACAAGAGTCCCTCCTCACTTTCCAATTTTTTAAATTAAGCAATGTCTGATTGCCTCAAATCATTTATAATTCAGTTCTGGGTTGTTCTGATTGCACTGCTCTCTCTTCTGAAAAATAATATTTTTTCAGAATACTTATCCTTACTGGAACTTCATGAATGAGCATTCAGGAGCCATGAAATCTGTGTGGTCCTTTAAGCTTTCTAATCTGCAGTGCAAGATTAAGAAAAGTGCCGATGAAGCAAATCCCTTCTTTGAAAGGAGAGACAGAGACATGAAATCCTCATAAACAACCACACATCAATGGTGTATTAGGTGCAACAATAAAAACCAGAAGTTAATGTCTCTTGTAAGCAGACCACACAGTTATGCTTAGCATTAATTACTTCGAGCCCATCTCAGATGGATCTACAAGTCACCCTTCTGCATCCCACATTTCTTCACTACCTTTGGAATTTCAGAGAAAGGAATCATTTATCTCCTTATAGGAACTAGATGGAATAAGGTCTGTGGTATCCTATGAGAAAAATATTTCATTGATCTGGGCATTAGATACTCAGGTCACGTTTTATTCACAAATATATTTTCTCAAAAAATGATAGCAATTTTTTTTGGTTGAAATGAATAAATCCTCCTAAAAGTGGAGTTTTCCAAATAGACGAACTGGGGGACAGGCTGCCATAAAGAACTGTCATCCAGCCTCAGAGTCCTAGAAATTCCTTTATGCATATGGAGTGATTTCAGCCCCTGGTGGCTGCATAGCCTCATTTTAATCTCCCTTCCAAAAAAGTCTTCCACCAATTGTCCAAGAGACCCAACTTGACTGATACAAGGAGTTTTCTATGTTTCCATTTGCTGACTTAATCATATAAGTGTCTTACAGATTTTGTGACTTTTTTAATTACCTGCATTGAATAATTTTTAAATTTTTAAAGGGCCTCAAGATTCCAGTAGTAAATAACTGAAATAGGGAAAGACAACTAAAAATAAATTCTTTAAAATGTAAATTAAAACATTACCATTTTCTACCTATTAATTAGCAAAACAAAATGACAGTTCATCAAATTAATAAAATAAACATGTAGATAGTATCAATTGGTAAAGCCATTTTGAAAAATAATCAAATAGCATATAACTTTAGTTCTTAAAATGTAGACTGTTTACATACATCTATTGATTTAACCTAAATAAATACTTTTAAATAATGAAAAACAATTATGCTAAAAGAAGTACATAGCAGTGGTACATGAAATTAGAACAAAAGAGGAAATAATTTTCAAAAATATAGAAGGATTAAGTTGTGGCATATGCACTCAATGTAATGAGCCTGGATGTATAAACAGTGAAAACTGTAAAGAAGGAGTAATTTCCCAACTACAATATTAAGTAGTGGATATTACCAAATATTATCAACAATATAATTAATACTACATAGAACGAAATAGTCACAGAGAAAATACATTAGAAAAAAAGTTCTCCAGATGCCAGTAATAATGTCAAGTTGGAATCATGAAATTGTCATAATATTTTTCACTTACCCAAATGTTCTCTCAGCTTCCATTCATAGCATTTCTAATAAATATAAATCAAAAACTTGGAAAATGTAGAACATTAACTTGTCCTTAAAATCATTTGGAATGGCTTTCAAATATGTAATTAAAGTTAGTATTTTTATTTTCCTTACTGAGAAGTCACCTATGGAGCACAGGGAGGGACTAGAGGTATTTGCTTTGATAAAATGGTTTTGAAAACCGTTGGAATTTTTTCCCATAGCAATAGAAGGTTTTTCAGCATGGGACAGTGAGCAAATCAACAATGAGACAGGAATGAGTAGATTCATTGAGATGGTATGGTATATGAGAAAGGGATTTTTATAAACACTGTGGATTCTAAACCCAGTACAGAACTGCCATTAACTGATTGGGGGAAAAAATCACTCAATTTCATACTTTGATAATTTTTCCATTTAAACAGAAAAAAAAACACATTTGGGTTCCACATACACATGAAATTATTCAGTTGTGTCTTTCTTGAACCTGACTTGATTTGCTTAGCATAATATTTTCCAGTTCCAGGCAAATAGTGTTGTAATGATGGAGTTTCCTTCTTTCTTACATCTGTAAAGTATTCCATTGCATATATATAACACATTTTCTTTATCCATGCATCTGTTGTTGGATACTCAGGTCCTGTGTCTTGACTGTTGTAACACAGCAATGAAAATTGGAGTGAATATATATCCTCAACATACCAATTTCAGCTCCTTCAGATATATACACCAAAATGGGAATGCTAGACCATATGTAATTCTATTTTTAGGCTTTTTTATGAATCGCCATTCTTTTTGCAAGATGACAGTATCAATTTACATTCACACCATGTTTTAGTCAGCTTTTTCACTGCTGTGACTGAAAAATCTGACCAGAACAATTGTAGAGGAGCAAAAGTCTATTTGAAGGCTTACAATTTCAGAGGTCTCAGACCATAGAAGGCTGGCTCCATTCCTCAGGGCTCAAGGTGAGGCAGAACATCATGGTGGAAGAGTTTGGCACATGCAAGAAGCTCACATGATAATCAGAAAGCAGAGACAGACTCCACTAGCCAGATACAAAATATATACCTGAAGGGCACACCCTCAGAGACCCACTTCCTCCAGCCACACCCTACCTACCTTCAGTTATCACTTAGTTAATCCATATCAGGCTATTAATTTACTGGTAGGGTTAAGACTCTCATAACCCAATCATTTCTCCTCCAAATCTTCTTGCATTGTCTTATATATGAGCTTTTGGGGGACATTTCACATCCAGACCATAACACACCAACAGTATACAAGAGTTCTCCACATGTTCACCAACACTTACCATTCATCTTTTTGCAACAGACATTCTAACAGATATAAAGTTGTACCTCATAAGTGGCTTTGATTTTCATTTCCCTGATAATTAGAGATGATGACCATTTTTTCATATGTATCTTGGTCATTCATATCTCGTCTTTTGAGAAATGTGTGTTCAAATCTGTTGCCTGCTTTGAATCAAATTGCTTATCTTCTTGCTATGAATTGAGTTCCTTATATGTTTTGGAATCAGTTACTTAAATGACATGTGGTCTGTAAATATTTCTCACATCCCTTGGTTTGTTTCTTTACTCTATCAATTGCTTCATTTGCTGTGAAGAAGCTTTTTAGTTTGATGCAACCTTTTTCATCTAATTTTGCTTTTATTTCCTGTGTTTTTGTAGTCCTATCCAAGAAATTATTGCCCAGAAAAATGTCATGAAACTTTTCCTTTATTTATTTATTTTTTTTTGGCTAGTAGCTTTACAGTTCCCAGTCTTAAGTCTCTTATCCATTTTGAATTGATTTTTATATATGGTGTGAGAAAACAGTTCAGTTTCATTCTTCTACATGTAGCTATTCAGTATTTCCAATATCATTTGTTGAAGAGATTATTCTTTCCTTATTGTGTGATTTTGCACTTTTGTCAAAAACCAATTGATCATAAATACTTTGGATTATTTCTAGGCTTTCTATCCTGTTTTATGCTGTTTTGGTTATGATAGTTTTATTTTGAAATCAAGAGTGTGATGCCTCCAGCTTTATCTTTTTGCTCAAGATTGCTTTGGTTATCCACGGTCTTTTCTGATATCATAAAATTTAGGATATTTTTGCTACTTCTGTGAAAAATGGATTTGAAATTTTGGTAGAAATTGCTTGAATCTGTAAATCAATTTACATAATATAGGCAGTTTAGTAACATTAAGTCTTTGATTCCATGAACATGAAATATCTTCTATTAGTCTTCTTAAATTTCTTTCATCAATTTTTTTATAATTTACAGAATATATACATTTCCCTTCTCTGATTAAACTCATTCCTAAGTATTTTGTGTGCTATTGTGAGATTGTTTTCTTAATTTTTTGTTTGGATAGTTTATTGTTAGTATAAAGACTTGCTACTGATTTTGTGACTTCGACAGGTTTTTTGTGGGATTATTAGCAGTTTCTATATATAAAATCATGTAATCAGCAAACAGTGATTTCATTTCTTTGTTTCCAGTATCAGTGCTTTTTATTTGTATTCTTATCTAATTGCCCTCACTGATAGATCTGATAGAACCATACAGAGTAGAAAGGTGTTTACTATAGATTTAGGAAGAAAAGAGGGATGGGGAAATGGGAAATATTAATAAAATGGTAAAAAGTTTTAGTTAGACTAGTAGAGTAAGTTTTAGTAATCTATTACATTTCCTAGTTACCATAGCAGATAATAATGTATTTTATATTTCTTTTCTTTTCTTTTTTTATATCAAGGATTCAACCCAGGCTCATTTAACTGAGCCACATCCCCAGCCCTTTTTATTTTTTATTTTGAGACAGGGTTTCACTAAGTTGTTCAGGGCCTCACTAATTGCTAAGGCTGGCTTTGAATTTTTCAATCCTTCTGCCCCAGCCTCCAGAGCCATTAGAATAACAGGCACATACAATACCCAGCAATGTATTTTATATTTCAAAATTGTTAAAATAATAAATATTTAATGTTTTTTAACATTAGGAATATGGATGTGTTAGTTATTTTGATTAAATATTTCTATAATGTAGTCATAGATCAAAACATCACATTGTATCCCACAAACACAACTCTTATTCCAATTTTTAAAAATACCTTGTTGAGGATATACCATGATCGTGAAGATGGATTTCCCAGGATGAGACTTATCTATTGCACTCCAGATGTTCTGTTCCCTGAAATTTCCCTAAATGCAGGAAATCGGACTCCATAATTTGTGGGAACTGTGTTTGTACTTTCCTCTGGAAGTTTGTGTATTAATAAAGATAAGGCTTAAACAGAGAAAAAAATCAATAAATAATGTAAAGTAAAAATTTACTTTTAAAATGAAGAATACAAAATCAATATACAAAAATCAATAGCTTTCCTATATATCAATAATTAGTTAATTGAAAAGGAAATCAGGAAAACAGCCCCATTCACAATATCCCCATCCCAAAATAAAATATCTAGAAATAAATCTAACCAAGGAGGTAAAAGACTCCTACAAGGAAAATTATAGAACACTGAAGTAGGAAAATGAAAAAGACACTAGAAGATGGAAAGAACTTCTATGTTCAAGGATGGGCAGAATCAATATTGAAATGACTATTTTACTAAAAAAAAAAAAAAAAAGCAATTCCCTGGTTTCAAATTAATCTATAGAGCTATAGTAACAAAAGTTGCATGGTGTTGGTATAAAAACAGACATATAAACCAAACAAACCCACAGTTATCTGATCATTGAAAAAGGTGTTTTTAACACCTTTTTTAACAAAAAGTACAAGGAAAACTGGTTATCTACTTGTAGAGGAATGAGCGTAGATCCATATCTTTCACCATGCACAAAATTTAACTGGATCAAAGACCTAGGATTAGATGAGAAATTTTGCAACTGCTAGAAGAAAATGTAGGGTAAACACTAACATAGATGCAAGAAACAGCTTCCTCAATAAGACTCCTAAAGCTCAGAAAATAATACCAAGAATTAATAAATAGGATGACATCAAATTAAAGTTTCTGTACAGCAAAGGAAATAATTAAGAATGTGAGAGAGATCCTATAGAATAGGAGAAAATCTTTGCAAACTACTTTTCTGACATAGGATTAATATCCAGAATATATATATACATAAACTCAAAAAACTACACCAGAAAAATTAAATAGGTGGCAAATGAACTAAACAGAAATTTCTCAAAAAAAAGAAAAAGAAATGCAGGGCTGGAGATATAGCTCACTTGGTAGAGTGCTTGCCTTGCATGCACAAGGTCCTGGGTTCAATCTGAAGCACCACAAAAAAAAAAAAGAAGAAGAAATGCAAAAGACCAACAAATATATGAAAAAAAAAGTTCAACATCATTAGCAATTAGGGAAATGCAAATCAAAAACTATACTGAGACACAAAATGGCGTGAATATACTACGTATACAACCAGAGATATGAAAAATTGTGCTCTATATATCTAATAAGAATTGTAATGCATTCCACTGTTATATATAAATAAACAAATAAATAAATAAGAAAAAAAACTGCACTGAGATTTCATCTCACTCCTGTTAGAATGGCAGTCATCAGAATGTAAAAAATAATGAAAGCTGGACAGAATGTGGAGGGAAAGGAACACTTTTACACTGTTGGTAGGATTGTAAATTAGTACCATCACTCTGGAAATCGATATAGAGGTTCCTCAAAAGACTAGGAATGGAACCATGATATGACCCAGCTATACCACTCCTTGATATTTATCCTAATGAATTAAAGTCATCATACCTACTCTGCGGTGATACATGCATATCCATGTTTATAGCAGCACATTTCACAATAGCCAAACTTTGGAACCTGCCTAGGTGTCTGTCAGTGGATGAATGGATAAAGAAAATGTATGTATACACATTGGAGTTTTATTCAGCCATAAAGAAAACTATAATTATGTCATTTTCAAGAAAAATGGATGGAACTTGAGAACATTATGTTACGTAGAAACCAAACTCAGAAAGTCAAGGGTCCTGTTTTCTCTCATATGTGAAAGCTAGAGAGAAAGAAGGAGGGGAAAAGGTGGCAGCCTGTGGATCTCATGAAAACAGAAAGGAGACCAATAGAGTAGAGGAAGGGATCAGGGAGATGAAGCAGGGGGAATACTGGGGACAATGTGACCAAATGATTGTGTGCATATATGAATATGTAACAATGAATGCAACTATTATGTGTAAATAAAGTGTATCAATAAAAATATGGGGAAAAAAATCATGAAACAAAAAGTAGCATTGGAACATGGGCAAATGGCAAAATACCTGGTGTTACTCAGTTCTGGCTCTCACTCCTCCTTCTAAAATAACAATTATTTTATTTTTCTTTACTCTTCTTCTGGTTAGAGTGAAGTAGCTCCTCAGTTTTGTCATCCAATATTGTGTCAGCATAGATGTCACTCATCCTTATGACAGGATCATTGTGCAGGCTGATGATAAGCCTCACTATTTCTGAGGGGAGCACTGACCAATGGCACAGGTCCCCTAGGGGGAGTGGCAGGAGGACAAGCTGAGCCAGTCCATTGACCTGCATATATCTGAGACCTGGGCTACAAGAACAAACAAGAATGAACGGTAAGCCCTGATGTTACAGCAAGAGAACAAAGGTTGAAGCTAGGCATACTTTTAACAAGGTTAAATCAACAGTGAACAGAATTTGCTACCCGGGAATCACTTTTCACTGAGTCACAATTATCAGATCCAAGCTTCACAAGAATACGTTGTCCACAAAAAAAAAAAAAAAAAAAAAAAAAAAAAAAATGGCCAGAAGTCTGAGACCATGCCCTTGGCCAAAATAAATACCAATGATTTTACCTGAGCTGTCCTATGAGTCCAGATGGTCAAGTCACTTGTAAGAACTACAGAGGAAAGTCTTGAATTGATTCATTATTTAACCAACATGGATCAAGCTTCCACAACGTGAGAAAGTCTTGAAAAGAAGAGTAGACATAATCCTGGTCTGTGAGGAGTTTTCAGTCCACTAAATAATAACCAAGTATTATACATTGCCTGTCTTTCTCTGGATCTAGTGCTCCCAATTAAGCCCCACATCTAATCTCAAAGAAACCCTGTGATGTCTTACTAGGTGAAAATATAGCAGTCTCTAATTGGAAATAGACTGTCAGACTGAGGAAAATATTTGATTATGACTTAAGGAGTTGCCTCTATCCACGTTTGAATAGCCAAATATCCCAAGAGAGAGGATAAAATAGGCAGAGAATGAGGAAGCCCCACAAAGATGAGAGAGTATATAAAAATTGGAGTAGATCTATATCAAAGCATGCTATTCTCTTGTACAAAGGAGAAAAGAAATACATTTTTATGTTTCCCACAACAATGTGCCCTAAGGGTCCCAGGTAGAGGGACTAAGGAGAAGCAAATTCTCTTGGGACTTGGATGAGAAGCAAGGTGCCTTCACTTCTTAGGAGTACTTCAACTTAGGAGTACTTAGGAGTGCCCAACTCCTTTGGCTTTAAGCTTTCCATCCCACCCTTGTGGTTCAGAAAACCCAGAGTTGGTAGAAGAAAGTTCTGGGGAGGAGTCCTAAAGTTGGCCCATCTAGCTGCAAACTTGGTGCTTATTTTCTCATCAAGTACTCCAGAGTTCACACACAAGGAAGCCACTTTCTCAGGAGGCAAAGAGCACTCAACCACTTCCTTTCTACTCAAACCCACCCCTTGCCCCACTGCCTCAATCTTGCTGCCCCTGCATGAAAGCTATGGAAAAAAGTCCTACAACGTCAGAGCCAGCATAGACCTTAGAGATCATATTGTACAGTCTTTACTTAAAAAAAAATTAGAGCCCATAGAGATATCATATCTTGTCTAAGGTCAGTCAGCCAACCTCCAAATTCCTTAAGATCTAAGCCTTGGTGATCTACTCACATGCATCCATTCATGCATTTATGCAAGTAACTCTAGAGTGAGCAAGGATCAAATTGTATATTTTCATTTTAAGAAGCACCTTAGATATAATATATGTTTTGTACTGTGGAGGAAATGAGGTTGAGCTGAGTATTTCTCTCCTATCTCTGTATCATGAATATAAACATGGGGACAAAACAAATACAAATGTAGAAACTAAAGTTATCTTAAAATTATTTCACCAATGTTGCCACTGGTATTCCTCATTGATTAGAAGCTACCTTGGCTTACTCACAGCTTAATTTTGCTTGTTAAAGAAAGTAAATCAGACTCCAAACCATCCAATGCACCTGAGGTATGATATTTGCAGCTTTCAACAAACACTGGTTAGACAAGCTGACCATGATACAAAATCATTCCTTCTTACCACCTTTCTGTCAGACTACTCGTGTGTCCCACAACCACCCTTCTGGCCCCCTCTGTCTTGCCACTTGCTGATGCTATTTGCCAGGGAGTGAAGGTGTCTGTGAGCTTTGAAAATTGGATCACAGGGACAGTTCCACGCTGGCCCCAGTCATGCTGACGGCAAGACTGATCAATCAATACCCTGTGTGACACTTTCAGAATTCATTGGAAATGATGCCCTTTTCAAATGACACCCACATTTTATCAAGGGCAGCTCCAGCGAGGGGAAAAACACCAATGTGTTTTTCTAAGATATATCTGATTCCAGTAAACTTTGTTGGTTAGGACCAAGAAGTCCGTATCTCTAGCTTCCCCGCACCCATCTCAAAACCTTTGAACAAGGAGGAGATGCAATGTTTAGGCAGTTTTGCAAGCTGAAATTTTTCTGAGCCCCTAAATCTCACATATAGAATAAAAAATGACCATTCCCGAAGAGAGTTTTTTGTTTTGTTTTGTTTATGCTAGGTTTGTTGTGGACTTATAGCACACCAGATTCACAGAGAAAACAAATGGAAACTTTCATTCAGAATGAAAGGTTAAAAAATTCATGGCTACTGTCTAAAACAGGAGTTGACCCTTCTTTGTCCCATATGATGTAGAGGAACATAAAGGCAATAGTTAGCCTGCCTTGTGGTTAAAGTATCTGAAGGGGGAAAGGACACAGGGTCAGCAACATAGGCCAGCCCAGAAGGTTAACTGTGCTGCTGCAGAACAAAACAAGGTGGCAAGCTCTGGTTTCACTAAGTTCTAATAAGGTTACAGAGTGTTCTCAGCATATCCCAACACTAGGTGGTTCACTCAGGCTACAGGAAGAGAGACTTCAAAGGGCCTCAAGGAACCAAGAAATGAGAGGAGTGATTCTTCCAACTAGAAGCCTCAGAAAGAAACGATGAGGAAAGACAGCAGACAGAA